CTGCTTGCGATTTGTGATTTGGGGAACTCAGTTGTCCAGCAACTTAACGGGCAGACTGCTTGCGATTTCGGATCTGGGGAGCTCATTTGTCAAAAAAACCTAAGGGGGACACTGCTTGTGATCCGGGATTGGGGAGCTTATCTGCAAAAAATTGGGATGTTTACGACCTCCCATGTGGGACCCCTCATAAATCTCTAGCAGAGATATATATGGGCCCCCATACAGGAGACCCGAAACCCTTTGTTTTGGATATGTATGTATGTATATGCATGTATGTATGTATGTATGTTTATATTCATACATATGTAATGAAAAATCGACCGAATTTGGAGGATGCCCCGCATGGGAGCACGATTTTGAACGAAGAATCGATGATTTTTTGAGGATGCTCCGCACGGGAGCGCGGTTTTGAACGAAAGAAGGATGAAATTTCGACGATGCTCCGCATGAGAGCGCGATTTTCGTCAAAATTTTCAGGATGCTCCGCATGGGAAGGCTTTTTTCAACGAAAGAACGACGAAATTTTGAGGATGCTCCGCTTGGGAGCGCGATTTTTCTCCAAATTTTCAGGATGCTCCGCACGGGAGCACAATTTTCTTCAAAATTTTGAGGATGCTCCGCACGGGAGCACGATTTTCTTCAAAACAAGACGACCTTGAGCGGAGCATTTTGGTATAGAATTGGTATAGGATCCATCCCGTAAAAGATCAAGTTTTAAACGACGATGCCGACGAATCCTATACCAATCCTATACCGGGAAGCTCAACCATAGATACCCCCCCTCTTAAGCCAAGAGAGCCACCTCGAACGACGTTCATTCGATATAGGATTGGTATAGAAATCTTCGACATGATCGTTCATCAATGATCAATATTTTCCGAATGCTCCGCACGGGAGCGCAATCTTGATCGATTTTGAGGAAGATAAGTTGACGAAATTTCGAGGATGCCTCGAGCGGGGGCGCGATTTTTGAAGATACTAAGATGATCAAAACGCAAAAAAATCGAATCGTCTCGCTCGTGAGCGCAATTTTTGAAAACGCTAAATCTGGAATTCTGAGGATGTCCTGCACTGGACCCCATTTTTCCAAAATCGATCGAGGCGCGACCGGTTGGCGTCCGGACCCCTCTACCAAGAGCACTTTCAAGGCGATGTCTCCTACTTTTTTTGATCGGAAATCGATAAAATACGACGATTTTTTGAGGATGTCTCGAGCAAGAGCGCGATTTTCAAGCGAACAAGAGCGCATCCCAAATGTTGGCGCGACGGAAGAGCACGCGTATGTAGGCGGGCGACGGTGCATCTAAACAATTAGAACCCCACAGTGAATGTGGGGAATAAGTTGGCGAAGGAGGTGGCCAAGGAACTCGGGACCCCAACAACAGCTTATGGGCGCTTATGAGTTCAGGAATGGCTTCCTGAAAGAATCCCTTCATCATCCACTACCATGATGCCTTTACTCACTGCCCATTCCCTACGTTAAGCCCCAAGCCCCTTGTAAGTTATACTTAAAGTCACTTTCCCACCCCGCTTAAGCACCGACACGTTCCGGAAAAAGGCCTTGATGTCCGACAGGCGCAGTACAAGCAAGCCCAAAGCCATGGCCAGCACACCGTAGACACCCCACAAAGCCCCATGGCCTCTGTAGGGTTTGAGGGTCTAAGGATTCAGGCTTTGAGCGTTTTCTAAGTTCGTCAGACTTTTGTGGCAGCTGTGCAGCTCCGCTTTCAGATCCCTGGTCTGAAGAAACATTTTTATGCCAGAGTTAATAAGAGCTCGAGATCATGCCAAACTCAAAATTTCACGCCGATACTACGTGGGCTCATGCACGCACAACAAGAGAATTGGAATGAAAATTCCAATGCTTCAGTCATCTGCGGTTCAATTCGCCGATTTAGATGTGAAATTCTTTTAGCTTCTTTCCTGAACAATAAATTCATTCCACCCTCTTCACGGAAACAACAAAGCACAGCGAAAGAAGCTAAATGAAGAAGGTGCGCTGATCCAGAAAATCGCATCCAACCAGGGAAAATGGTGAATCTACTAGCGAGCTTCTCTAAATCATTGGCTAATGGTTTGGACTTTCCACTCCACTCCCCACTACTTCCCAACAGCGAACCCGAGGGACCCATCCTGGTGGGCGCTGTTAGCACGCCATGCAACAGTGACCGTCTAGAGTCGAAGAGAAGCCAACCTTGTGACTGCTGGCACTCTTGACACGCAGCTCAGCAACCCAGGACCGCGCAAAAGCGACAGGTACGAGGTTGGCAACCCCGTGACCCTTGGCATCTTGGCACGACAACGATCCAATAACAGAGACAATTACGAAGATTGCGACTCCCCCGAAGTGACTGTTGGCGCTTTGGACACGTGACGGGCTGAAGCAGGGAACAGCGTGAGAAGGGAGGAATCGTCAGGGTTGACGACGGAGGGAAAGGTGGAGCGTCAGTTGCTTGATATGGTGGCCGTTTTACCAAGTGCTGAAAGCACAAGAGCAGGTGGGTTCTCGCTTCATCGCTACGTGTATCGTATGTGCGACAAGTCAATCAACCAACATTCTTGGCACAGTTTGTTTTTGCAAACGTGCCAGCCAAGCTTTTATAGTCTCGCTCGACCTGGACTGGTCTGACATGCCTAGGCAGAGATGGGGTGCCTACATAACTCAAATCCCAAACCGTGGAAAGTGGAGTGGAATGTGGTGCAAGGTGGGCTGGAGAGTGGACTGGTGGACTGGAGAACTGAACGGAGAGGTTTTGCAAAGGCCCCTTATAAAGGTTTGAAGAGAGGTTGTTGGGCGCCTTGGAAAACCTGCAGGGGTAGAGGGAAGAAAAAGGGTAATGGCAAGACGAAACCCTCGTCCCTTGTACAGGGGAAAGAGATGGTAACACGTGCCTGGGGTCTTCATCTTCCCTGAGCAGAGGATCCGCAGAAGTGGTGGGCATTGCGGCATACGACCGTGGATGATGCAACGCATCTTCTGATTGCAATCTTGGAGGAGCTCTGGCCACAAAGACCAGAAGGAGAAAACTTTGGGCTCCCTCTTTAAATTTTGGACAGATTGGCCCACAACATCAGCCAAGTCCGTTCTGAGGAATATGCTGCAATGCTGATGGCATTTGCTCAAATGCAGGGGCTGTTCCAGGCAGCAGTTGCCTTCAAGTAGCGGGACGTGGACCAGGTGAAGCCAGAGGCAATGCAGAGCCAGATGATGAGCGTCATGAAGCTGGATGAATGCAACGAGTAACAGGCCGGCTGGCCGCCAGCCTCCTGACATAGTTTTTGGTGGAGCTGACTGCAGCTTGGTGCTTGAGTGGGCACACAATCTGGAGGCGGTGATAGGAGCCTGCCTGTGCCATGGACCCGGACGAGCAGCAGATCAGGGTGAGACTGTTGTGGGACGAGAAGATTGTGGGACGCACTCCTTCCCCCCATACGCAGCGAGGAATCCACTCCACAGCAAGCGTGAAGCATTTCGGCTAAGTAACATGCGGCACGCACGACACGATTCGCAGAACTTGCGTTAGGCCATCCTAAAAGCTCTCCAAATCTGCAAGGGGCTGTTAAATTCTTAGGGAAACCCCCTACAACCTCTCCAAGGGCTTGAGGCTCCCTCGCTTTAAAGGAAGATGTAGGGGTGATGTAGGGGTACCTGACCATTCAATTTCTTCTTTAAGGTTTAGGCACCATTTACTGAGCAGAATGGAGAACCAAATGGGAAAGGACATAGAAAAGCAAATGGGAACTGAGTTTCTGCAAGGGCTTGTGGAGGTGGTTCTTATGCAGGGAGCGAGGTGAGGGGTTTAATGAGGGTTTAGGGTTCAGGGTTTTATTGTCTAGGGTTTTAGGATTTTAGCGTTTAGGGTTTTAGGGTTCAGGGTTTTAAGGTTTAGGGTTTTAAAGTTTTAGGGTTTAGGGGAGGGTTTAGGGTTTGGGTACGCTATGCCATACATGTGTAGGGATTATAGGGGCACAATATTAATAACTATTGACGCTTCTACATTGAACGTCCTAAATGAAATCCTGTATCCCATGTAGTCCCAATCTCAATTTATTTTTCCGCGCTCTTTTCAATTCTCTGCTTCATGTCTTGGTGATGATTCAGGCTGTTTTTACCGCACATACTTGTATAACTTGTATATTCCGGCAAATCCCCTACAGCCCCTGTAAACGAAGCCTTCCGCCCTGAACCCTAAAACCCTAAAGCCTAAACCACACTTTCAATTCACTTTCCAAAGAAGAGTGGCTGTGGGAGAGCGTCAAGTACCCTCCAATCCTGGGTTGCTGTTAAGGAACTTAAACTAAGTTACCATAACGGGTATACATATAGTAAATAATAGGGTT